TTTCCTGTTTTGTAGTCTGATGATGATTGTAAATTGCTACAATCTGATATAGACTTTGTACAGAAGTGGTGCATTGAAATTTATATGAAAATTAACACATTCAAAGCAAATATAATTCGTTTACCCTTAGAAGTACCTGTATCCGTTTTAATTACTTTGTGGGTGATCTGTTAATCGTAGGAACTTCGGGTTATGTTAGGTACGAAATTGCATTTTCATCATCATGTTTACTTGCATGCTCAGGCACTGAAGCTGTTAGCACGAATTCGTTTCATCACATATAATTTTTCTTCTTTGAATAATCCAAAGGTTCTATATATTACCTTAAATGTTCGAAGCTTGAGTTCGCGCCTGTCGTTTGGAATAACCTTACTGCAGCAGATTCTGATGAGCTGGAAAAAATACGAAGAAAGTTTGCAAATTTACGTGCATGCTATCATCAGTTTATTCACCCCAACTCTTTTTGTAATTATGGATCCGTGTTGAATTACTTGCATTTTAAAACACTTTATTCCAGGCGATAAAATCTTGACGCTTTATATCTCATTAAGGTTTCCAAGAGCAAAATTGACTGTTCCGCGTACTCACTAAGCAAATCAGATACTTTTCCACCTTTAACGTCAGCAATGTCTGAAGACTTCGCCCTTCAACAAGGTGCATCACAGCTGCAAACATCTGCAGATATCTCTGGATATTTTCAATAAACATAACATTTCCCCTTGCTTCATCGTAATGAGTTACGTGATAATCGTGTTATCTGTGTTGCTTTATTGCCTAGGATTACCTTTTAGTTTAGTTCTAGTCCTAGTCTAGCTTTTGCTATGTACCTTATAGGCCACTGAGCTGTGCTGAGGGAAGAGAACAAACGGCCGGAGCTCCACAATTACCATTAGAGTGTTCAAATCAAGTTGGATGATATGGGCGGGATGAGGGGACAGAACGTTTAGTCGGAGAAGCTAAAGATAATGAAGATCTAGGCTTAGACGGAGGGATGATATTAAAAAGGGTCTTGAGGATGTTATTAAAAGGGGGTCTTGGGGGTTTTGCATGCGGATTGTATTCTTGAGACTCAGGATAAGATCCAGTGGCGGGTTTATGTGACCACGGGTTCAGTAAATGCAGGGAATTTCTTGGTCTGTCGAGCAAGTATCAGCTTGTCAAGAAGGATTTCGTTTCATGTAATTATAACTACTACTGCTATATAACGAACGTACCAAGTTCATGACATGACGATCCTAGTTTTTATTACGGAGGAAGGAATGGGAAAATAAGATGGCTTGGACTCGAACCCATGCACATAGCAGCAAAATTAACAGTGTTCCTGGGATTGTCTCTGGGTACAAGAGTGAAGCAGACAGGCAGTCGAACAGAGAGCGACTTGGCCGGGTATCAAGGAATTGCCAGAATCCTCACTGAACCGCACAGACTGTTACGTTTTGAATTATTTCAGTGCTTCACTTCTGTTGAAAGCGACTTTGCCCTTCTCCAGTAAGAACAGTGGAATCAGAGACGCAGTATTTCACTTACACGCGGCGTGCAGTGATGACTTGAGTTACTCGAAGTTGCCATAAGCCCCATTAAGATCAAAATATTGAATGCCCTCCGATTCATGTCAGAGCATATGTTTCGTGGAGTGTAATTAGTATGAATACTGCCGGAGGCTTAAATTTATTAGCGTTAATGAGGGGTTGGTGCTGTTTAATTAATGGAAAGAAATGTAGTCCTTGTGTAGGATGAAGAAGTGTGAGGTTCTCATGTAGATTTCTCTGTAAATGCTTTTAGTGCGACGCAAGCCCTGTTTATTAAGAAAGTGAGTGCTCGATTTGGATAATTATTCCAGTCGTAAGTTGTGCTTAAGATATTTCGAGGCCATCTTGCGAATTTCAAACAAACTGGTCAGCTGTTGGGCCTGGTCCCCAAAATAGAAAACTGGCCCCCTCCAGAAGCAAGGAAGCCGAAGGCTTGGAGGTCTAACGAATTAGGCGCAAGACCGGCTGATAATGAACACGTACGTTTTCCTGTATGTAAACCCCTTTCGTTAAGTGTCAGCTAGCAGCTTCTCCCTCTCTCCCTGTCTCCAGTCGTGTTACCAAGCGACACTAAGAGTTGTATTGTGCAAAAGTGGTTTATGTCCGCCGCCGTTACACTATTTGTTAGCGATGGACGGCGAGGCGATGAAGAAATGCAATATTATTGAACAACAAAACATGAAACCGAAGCAAATCCAGAAGTAACTTACTTACTTACTTACTCACTCATGGAGCTGAGCCCTTCTTGAGGAGCCGCCAATTCTGCAGCTAGTCAAGAATTTCCCAGCATTTTATGGAACCCGAAGGTTCATCACCGTGTTCACAAGAGCCCTCCACTGGTATCTATCCTCAGCCAGATCTATCCAATCCATACCCTTCCGTCCTATCTCTCTAAGATCCATTCTAATATTGTCCACCCACCTACGCCTTGGTCTTCCCTGTGGTCTCTTTCCTTCCGGCTTTCCCACCAATATCCTATATGCATTCCTCGACTTCCCCATTCGTGCTACATGACCTGTCCATCTCGTCCACCTGGACTTGATCATTCTAATTATACTTGGATAAGAGTACAAGTTATGAAGCTCCTCATTATGCAGTTTTCTCTAACCTCCTGTCACTTCATCTCTCTTTGGTCCAAATATTCTCGACACCCTGTTCTCAAACACCCTCAGTCTATGTTCCTCCCTTAATGTCAGAGACCAAGTTTCACACCCATACAGAACCAGAGGCAAAATTATAGTTTTGTATATGCTAATTTTTATGTTTTTGGACAACAGACGTGAAGACAAAAGGTTCTGGACTGAATGTTAGTAAGCATTACCCGAGTTCAATCGCCTCTTAATTTCCTCCTTAATCAGGTTTCGATCTGTGATTTTAATTGTATTTTTGTGAATAGAACGTTTCTGTGTAAAGATATTCTTTCTCAGAATTAGAGTTTTTTTTACTTTGCCCTCGTACGGTATTCTAGAAATTAGAAAACACGATGTTTCGGAAAATGGGTCTGTTTCCGTCCTCTGGTAAGGGGGGTGGGGTGGAAAAGACACCTACTCAAGTGGGTACCTTAGAAAGAGTTAACCTCAATCACTGGACCTGTCTGCTCGTCTGGACCCACAGAGCTTTTCTGTAGTATAGCAGTTTAGTTGGTAGGCAGGTCAATTTGGCGCCTTGACCTCAGTTAACAGAACGTTAGGAATTGGATATATAGCCCACCAAATTTGAGAAGAAACGACAACACGAGGAATCTAATTTATAAACTTTTAAACAGAGTGTACCTCCTTGCCGTAACGTACTAAAAACTCTGCATTCTGCCCACAGAGTGTGTCTGTGTGTTCCGTATGGTTCTCACAATAAACAGCGACTGTTTCCCTAAACAGCATTAACCGGTTGGGCTCTGTAGCGGAGACGTAATGTTTCCTGTGAGGTACGGACTGAACATACTAAAACTCTGCATTCTGCCCACAGAGTGTGTCTGTGTGTTCCATATGGTTCTCACAATAAACAGCGACTGTTTCCTTAAACCGTTAACCAGGTGGCCTCTGTAATGGAGACCCTGTTTTTCCTGTGAAGAAGGAACCGAATGTTATTGAGATGAACTTGTGGTTTGGAAGGGTTATGTATTATGCGACTGTTCTGATTCGTGTATAGTGAGCTGCTTGGGATTATGTGCAGCCGGGAGCATTACACTGCAACATGTGCCTGTGGTTCCGTGTCAGCTTTTATGATGCGAGTGCATCAGATGTTTGTTATTGCCTAAAGATTGACTCGGATGTTTGACACCCCTGTTTCTATGACTGCGTAATGCAGTGTCATTGCTACAGAATGAGGTTCACATGACACAAAAGAGGAGCGCTAATGTAGTTTATTTTGGTGACTTTTATTTCTATGGAAGGTGACACAATGGACGCTAAACGCTGCGGCTGTCCGGGGCCCGACACAATGATCCACTTCTGGGGCATGGGTTTCGCATCCGGCCCCAAGTGCGCACAGCATATGTGCTTACGTGGAATTGGCGGCTTGCTGTTGTGAGCACTCTTATTTCGCGTCAAATCACGTTCAAGGAAGCAATTTGTGTTGTCATACTGTAGACCTCAAGGCATTACTTTATCAGATGTTATAAACAGACCAAATTAAATCCATTTACCAGTTTGCGACAGGATACATTCTTGTCATCTTAAAACTCAATAAACATGGAAGTGAATGCCGTGCCGCGTTCGGACACTGCCATCACTTTGTTAAGGATCTGTACAAATGAAAATACGCAGTGTTTAGTAGGTGCAATTAGTTTCCCTTGGAAAGGGCACAAGAAGAAAGAAAACGTTTTCGATATTACAGCCAGTGACTAACGCGCAGACTCCACATTGCAGCTGACAATTCAGTCTGCAGTTTCCTCATGTAAAGCATATCATGAAGCTGTTCTGGTTGACAGGATTTCGCGCTACGCTGGCCATTTAAAGCACCGCCACCTTCTTCAACATTAATTAAACAAGTCTGCAGTTTGTTGACATGTATTTCTGTTTCGCCTGCTTCTCGCAGTAAACAAATATTATTACCCTAAACGGCGTGAACGGCCTGCTTTTTTGTAGCGCAAACGACGTGTTTTTCCCGTGCGATTATTGGGATGAGCTTAAGTCTTCAAAGAGTTAAACAGTTTATCTTGACGTTTGTGGGTTTGTGTGCAGGCGTGTCGCCTTTTCATTTTGCTGTCAGTTGCAGACAATTGAACAGTCCCATATCTGCAGCTGTGCTAACCTCACGAACAAAAGATAGCGTGACAGCGTACGTTACGTCTACACGTCTGTCCTCCTATAATTTTACGTCCTGCACGTATTGTGGAATGGCGGAGACGAAGATGGATGTCAGGAGCAGGCGACGTGGTGGTCGCTTCAGCGTGGGCGTCCTGCGACACGCAACGAATTTATCAAGGAGAGAGATGCCATGGCACCTTATGCAGCAATACAAGTGGCAGGAGAGCCGTGTGCTGCAGGATCCAGAGAGTTTATGTGGAAGTAGATTGTGTAGGGCTGGCACATGCAACATTCTGTGAGTGCAGAACAGTAACATGGAAATGAGCCAAGCAAACCAACCGCAAGGCGGCCAGTGTCTCGTACAAAAATATTTGCGTTATAGGGTGCTTCTCTTTGCTCAGTGCTGCTGAAACACATTGTGAATTTTCGGGTTCCGTGGACCGAGTGCTCAGATAAAAGTGACGGTCTGTCTCAGTTGTAGCGCTGTGTATTCGATATACCTTCACAGACGCTCTTCCTAAAAATCGTCTTTGCAGCCCAGGATAGCGTCTTTCATAGCTACCGCTGTGAGAACCTTAAACCCAGCATTCATGCTTAGGTGTTGCTATTCTATGATGTACGTGTAGCAAAGACACTGCATGCCACGAACGCCGGCCATCTTTGTTATACCGTCTTAATGTTTTAGTTTTAGTGACGTGAAGTAACTATGTTCACTGTTTATGTAGGCCAGATCACTTGGCAATCAAGTGTGTCTACGTAGAGAGGGGTTTTTTTATTGCTAGTGGGGTGGGACTAAGTCCCTTGTACTGCGGCCACTTCTGGTCTCTTGTACCAGCCCCAAATGATAGGTGAGGGTGATTGTGGAGCAATTGGTGGAATGAAGATTGGCAGGGGAAACCGAAGTACCCGGAGAAAACCTGCCCCAGCGCCACTTTATCCACCACAAATCCCACTTGACCAGACCCGGGCTCGAACCCGGGCCGCCGCGGTGGGAAACCTGCGACTAACCGCTTGAGCTATGGCGCGGCCTAGAAAGGGTTAAAATGCGGTCTGGCCATATCGGAACCGCGTCTGCAAGGTCAGTGGACAGTCTGCAAGTGTTGGAACGTGGAACAGTTTGATGGATATTCTGCTGCAACGGTAGATAAATCCGGGTTGGACAATTCGGTGCGGCTGCTGAGAATGTCTGATACCAAGACACACAAGCACTGGACACGAAAGGAAGTGAGCAAACACCTGTTTATGTGTGCACCTTTCCATACCTGAAATTGCCTACTAAATTTCATCACATTTGGCCCCACGATTGCAACGCAGGATCCGCCGACTGTGGGTATGAACACGCGCTGTAGGCGGGACATGAGTTCCCCAGTCTGACTGCGTGACGTCGTACACTCCGGTAGACAGTTTGCTCCGCGTTTCTAAGGAAATATGGTACAACCATCTTAATCACAGTCCTGCCTTTTCTACGATGAAGACTAAGGCAACAGGATGTTCCAAAACTTTGGAACACCTCATAGTCATCGCTGTGAGAACCTTAAAAAGAACACGGTACAAACGAAAGGATAATTTCCTTTTGCATGTGGTTACGTCTCTGGCTGGTGGTGACATGCAGAGAACACGCCAAGATTTATTCTGTCGTGAGATTGCAGTAGCACTGCAAGCCTAAGCGAAAGAAAAGAAGAATACATCAGCATTACAACGTGACATCTGCTGCTAGTTTGTTTATGTCGTGATACAGAAACGCATTTCGCAAATAAGTACTAATGGACACGAAGCCACCGCTAGCAGCTGGACGCTGTACTCAAAATGTGTGTACGCAGACGCGGCTTCAAAAGGTTTCGACCCGCGAACTCAGTACACAATGAACACACTCTAATTTCATTTCAGTAATTTCTCTTTTTTAAGCGTAATTGGTTGAGACAGTATGCTACAAGCCGGAAGGTCGAAGGTTCGAGTGAGGTCATTGGATTTTTCAGTTGACGTAAGCCTTCCAGCCGCACTATGGCCCTGGGGTCGACTCAGCCTCTAACAGGAATGAGTACCAGGAATCTTCCTGTGTGGGCAATGGACGGCCGGCGCGTAAGGCTGGCAACCTCACCGCCATCTGTGAGCCGGTTCTCTAGAAAATGTGGGAACCTCGCCATTTCAGAACTCTATGGGCCTTCACGGTTGCCTCACCTCATGTCTCCGGCAGTTTCAAGAAAAACTGCTTGCTTAATGAGGCGCGAATACGGATCAGATGCATGTGCTTTCCAGGAAGCTACCTCAGATGGACTTCACGAGGAGCGTCAGGCAGATTACAGGCAGCTCTTGAGCACAGGCGCTCAGAGAGCGTTACGAGTTGTGTGAAGCTCGGAATCCAAAGCTTTATGAAGTCTCACATTAACGCTACGGTTTGTATTAAATGGCAAAACAGAATGAAACATGCTGCTGGAAATTCTCAGAAGTGTGATGGACATATAATGGACATGCAATGTCATGTAATAAGGCTACATCATGTTCCAGGCAAATAATGTGTTACACAAGAGAAAATGACGAATCCCTATCAAAGGGTGAAACGCAAGTTTAGAGGACTGTAATTCTTAAAGATGTGAATAGCAGTTTGGAGCTTCCATTATCTGGGCAGGAAGGATAGAGCAAAAGGAGGACAGCGAAACAAGGGCGTGATTCACAGGGGCCGAGTGTCCACACGGCGGTCCAGTCTGGCACGTGTGGGAGTGCTTAGAACAGTCTTCTGGGATGTGACGCCGTGAGGTGTGGTAGACATTTTGCTGCATGCTCGGCTAACTCTATGGCCCTGAAGATGGAGGGAGTGCTTTCCTCCCAAACGACGGTTAACTTCTACCAGACTGCACGGCGTACTAACCCTACATAGTCACCGACATGAAAGGCAATAATGATAAACAGCTTAAAGATTACTGTCTTCTGCGATATGCGTCCGTATAGTCTGATACAAATTCACGAACGTTTCGGAGGCAGCTCCTGCATCCTTCCTCAGGGTTGAGGAGTAAGTCGTGGCGGAAAACGAGGGAACGGGCGTAAGGATATGAGAAGCTGGATCGGGGCTGTGAGGGGAAGTTGGTGGGCCCAATTAACCTCTGCGGGACAGCGAGGTGAGCCACGACAAGTGGCAGTGGGCATGTGCGGGGGTTCTGTCTGGCTGGTGTGGTGCGAGGTTATCTTTTATGTTTACAATGAATGTCGGGCTAAAACGCTGTTTCTCATGGGATGCTTTGCCCCCAAGGGAACCTGCACACTGTAGGACTTGAGGCTCTCACACTGGCAACTATGCAGAACACGGTCTTGTCTGTTGCAACGCCGTGTGGTCCGGTGGAAGTCCACAGAAGTTTCCGAGGAATGTATCACCTCCATCTTCAGGGCCGAAGAGTAACCCAACAGAAACAAGAAAGAAGCTTGCCGCATGCTTATTGCTGCTTTCCTGCTTCCCTCACTTTTCGACCTGAAGATGGAAGCGATACATTCCTCCGAAACGTTGGCGTTATGAACCGGAAGGTAGCAATCTCGAAACCCTCACGACTTCATGCTCTGTGGGCTCGGGGCTTGCGTTTGTGACATTACAGCAGGAACCAGTGAACAGGCTGTACCTCTTTGTGCTTGCAGGTGCAATGGCTTACGTTCATATTCGTTTCCGTATTCGTGAGACCGGAGAATGCTTCCGCTATGGGCAGGTTCTCGTTTTATACAAGCTTTCGCGTTTCTCGGGTGCAGTCGCTGTAGTGATCTAATGAAGATACCTCAGAGTCGAGAGGTGACGTGGAAATAAGTTACTCGCATGGGCCCGAGGCTGGTAACGTCACGTTAACGGTTCGTTACGTAGAAAATATTGTTGTCATTTGTTACTTGCAGTGTGAGCACATTTGTAAGAATAATTCTGGCGTGGAAAGTGGCTGTAATTTGAATAGAACATCACTCTCCCAGTGGAGACCGCAATTAGAGACCCTCACAGCATACATACGCAAGAAGACCAGGGTTCGAATCTCAAACACAATTACATTATTTCGTGCTTAGTTCCGATAAGACTGAAAAGGTACAGGCCTGCATTCGTTCTTCGTAATTTTGATGACGATAAGAGACTGCTGAAGGTAACGAACGTCAGGTATTGTCAGAGCCACGCCAGATCGCTCTTGTTGCATGTTAAAGCCCAATTTCTGACCCGTGCTGCTGACGGAAGTCTCTTTGAATTATGAAGGAACGCTCCGTAAATAAAGCGAGCCCATCCGGGTTTCTTGTAAGATAAATAACTATTATTATTATTACAATCATTCATCATGTTTAAACAAGATGGTCACTAATTAGATGCGAGGCGGAACAGATTTGAGTCGGGCGAAATACTGTAGCAAAGCACAGCGCACTTCGGAGCGAGATATCTGCTCCTGCGAATTAGATGAGGCAGACCGCCATGGAGTCGGAGGACAACAGAAAGAAGAACTTAATTGGTACCGCAATCCGAGCCGCCTTGCGTTTTCTCGTTTAACCTTTCGAAACTAAAACGAAACAGTTTAGTTCCTCCCTGTGTCTCCATTACAATGAGAAGCTGCATATAGTCTCTAGGGAAATAGTGTCTGTTCATGCCGGCAATTGCAATGTGTCAGTAAAACGCAGAATGTTGAAATGTTGAGGAGTTCTACAAAATCCACACCCCCAATCCAATACCTCTGACCCTCCAAAGAGATGATGTCTTCCCATCAGTTTTTCCGAGCAAAATGGAAGCAATACTAAACAGACTGAAAACGTGGTGTATGCTGTATGCGGACTGCTAGTCCTCCGTTACTGCTTTGGGGTGGGCGGCATAACGCTAAGGAGCTGTGTAACACGTAACGCGAGGATGCCTATACGCTTATTCAGTGCCAGCGCGTATCACTTATTGGGTCCCTGGCTAGAGCTGCTCTCAAACCAGGGTCCAGGGATGACGGACAAAATCCACATGGATAATTTTAATCAGTGTAGGCATCGTCGCCCTGACCACGCGATACCCTCTATGCGCTAAAGTTGGCACTAACTTCGCTGACAAGAGGCGGTCGCTCGGTCGGTATCGTTCGCTTGCGGCCTACAAGCCACGGAGTTTGTTTTGTTTGTTTGTAGGCATCGTTGCCAAAGACTTTGAATTTTCCGGCCTCCCAAAGTTCATGTACTTTGTTGTGGGCCTTAAAAAACGAATTGAAATGAGCGAAACTCACACATTAACGCCCGCGTAATGGAATCGCCATACGCAGAGTATCGCATCTTCTGCGTAAAGGTCAGTATGTCCTTTTAAATTGGTGGACATGTAACTGCCCATAGCATGTACAGTCTTGTAAGCGTCTGTCAAAAGACTGAGCAGATAAACGCAGGATTCGTTTAGAGCCATTGAATTGTCGCAGACCAAAACAAAAACAACCGTTACGCTGGAACAAGGAACTCCCCTCTGATTGATTTAACTTACTGAAGGGCGCGACAAACGCCGACTGGCGTTAAACATGACAAACTGACAGCCTTCTGCTGTGTATTCAATCTGATGCCAACAATCACATTCATGTAATTATCTGCCTAGCCAACATAATGAGCATAAGCGACATTTTACTGTTTTTCACACTTCGCTTCCCTAAAGCAGATATAATGAAGTTCCGCGCCTTTGGCTTCCTACCGGCTGTTTTCGAACTGAACTCGGTTCATGCCTGACTGAGCTCAAGGTTACTGCGGACCCTTTGCTTCAGCTACAGGAAGGAGACACTGTTTGACATATGAATACAATAAATATTGAAAAGTAACATTTCGTAACCGAGTTATTATGAATGCATTTAGGCATAAAATATCTTGTGTAACTCTCAGAAACGTAATTTATCAGTGCTTTTCAATAACATAATTTAGCAGCAGTAAATGGCGATTATGTCTGTAAACAGCATTAACCTACTGGTTTTTGTAAGAGACACGTAGTGTGTTTCCTCGGGGCTTGTGTGCTATCTGCAGGCCGTTCATTGGTTCTCTGCTCAACACAAACACTCCTTTCCAGGACGTGTTTTTCTCTGGAACCGCGGAAATGTGAGGAGCCGGGAGAGCTCAGTCGGTATAGCGACTGCCTACGGGCTGGACGGCCGAGGGGTCGGAGTTCGAGTCCCAGTAGAGGCAAGAATTTTCACTCCTCCATCTCGTCCAGACCGTCTGTGCGGCCCACCCAACCTCCTATTTAATGGGTACCGGGGGTAAAGGCGGCCGGGGCGTGAAGCTCACAACTCACCTCCAACTAGTGCCGAGGTCAAGAAAAGATAGGTCTGTATATCCACTCCCCCATACGCCTTCATGTCATAGTGCTCAATTAGTTAAGTACAGGGACAGCTTTACATGTTGATGTTCGGCAAGCAAAGAGCCTTGTTGTAGGTAGCACGTGGATGCTTAGAACCCAGGACCTCCCGAATGCGAGGAACTACAGCGGAACGATCGGGCCTGAATGTGAATCAGTGCAGGTGGAGTTGACCCCGAAACTCTCGTGGCGTGCCATGTCAAGTGTGAGCTGACGTGCCCTCAACACTCGGCACTTGAAAATGAAAGCAAACCAAATGGACACAGCTACATTATTGTTATCATTATTTGGAACGCAGTCCTCGAGAAGCTACTAGTATTACAACTTCTCGAAAAATTTCACGCGTCTTATAGAGCCCTATGTCTATTGCTATATTCACAGGAGCCCTCCACTGGACCTCATCTGCAGCGCCAACGAAACCTGCTGGCCAGAGGCATTTCCCATACACGCGGTTCCTGTGTCCTTGTAAAACTCCGCGTTACGCGATAACGCGTAAGTCGAAGATGTTTCTTCCGTATAGGCAATGTTAAAAATGATGATTACGTTCTCGAGTGTGTATTTCTTCAATGGTAAACTTCTCGATTGTGATCTCCATTGTTGCAGTAACATTATGATGACACCTGTGCACCTCTGACCCGCGCGTAGCCCCGTTTCCTTCCCGCGCTTCGCTGTGTCTATCCTCGCATTCCTCCTCGGCGTGTTGCTCTTCTACCCGGAAGATGGAGGTGGCAGGGTCCCCCGAAACACCAATAACATTCTTTCTACCAGACTGCACGGCGTCATTGGCGGGCCGAGCGGCGGTAAGAAGGGGCGAATGTGGAAGCGGCTGTTCTGGTGCTGGGCTTATTAGGGCATTTTGAAACGCGTGACAGTGTTTGCGTTTTCTCCTGCCTGACAAGAGCCACTCGGCCGACACACCTTGCCTACCGCCCTTACGTCTGTAAACATGTCACTCTATATAAGATGGGGCAGCAGGCTGTGTGCGTGGCATTTCGCAAGAACAGTCAGCGCTGTACAATTGTTTTGCTTTTTAATTTTCGATAAATCAGAGGACTCTAAAGCACAAGTCTGGCCTTGCTATATCAAACGTAAGTCTGTTATCTGATAACTTTTTTGCCCTAAGTATCAATGGAAACGTATTATTTGCAAAAACACTCGAAAATCTTTCGAAGTGACATCAGAATTGAATTGAAAACATGTCTAATTCCAGAATAACCCTAACTTCGGATGGGGGGGGGGTGTTTGTTTCTAGATGTAGTATAGAGTTTCGTGAAGCCTTCCCACAGATTTAAACCTCGCAGTTCCTTTCCATTCAGTAATGTTGCTTCGTCAAGACTAAATGAGCATTTTCGAAGCTAAGCACCAAAAGCTAAAAGCAATGAGATGAGAGTGTCACGTGGTCTCTATGCTCTGTCGTCATGGCAACGACATGTCACAACAAAGCGTTGTACAAGTTTAATGATTTATACCGGCTTCCGGTATTTTCACGTGATTAAGAAGGTTGATTGGCAGAAAAGTTAGCAGGCGTGGGAAAATCAGAAATACATAATTTCGGCCGGAGAAAGCTCATGCGAAGATAAGGCGTAGGTAGGAAGGTAATGTTAACATTTCTCTCGCAGGGGAACTCCCCTCGCCATGTTGGTTTTGCTGGTTCTTGTCATCGCTTCGCCCAACTACGTTTCCGGTGTTATGTCGAGGCAGAATATGACGTCGAATGACGTCACCATTGGACGCAACACGATCTCCCCTCACTACGCCTACATCTATTACGATGGCCACAGTTCGCCTTCCGACACTAACAGCCCCTACTACAGTCCGGGGACGCATTACCACCAGTACGAGGGTAAGTGTAGGGTAGCAGTTGCGGACAGCAGAGAATTGGTGAGCTTCCTGTTTCGGGGTTGGGTGTTGCAGAATGTTACACAGAACCTCGGAGTGGGTGGGCTCCTGTGAACGAGGACACGAAAATTTCTGTTCCAAAATAGCCGAGCAGTTCCTTGACTGACAGAATGACCATCAGCTCCTCAAGGAAGGAGTCATTAATTTGGCTTGGCGGGGCGACGGTGGATGGACCACTCAGTCAGTCGTGCGCACTCTGCTGTTTGGTCAGAATTGCAGTAATCTGAAAATGTCTCTCTCTGTGTGCCAGCTGTTCTCGTGTCTGGCCGTTAAGGACGACCAAAATTTTCTCGACAGATGTAAGGAATCTCTGACAGGGAGGGCAAATGCATTCTGAAATAAGTTCAAGATTTTTAAATAAATGGAAATAAGTTAAAAAGCGCGAGAGGAGCCGTTCAAAACATGAGACACACATGCAAGATTCGCGAGACAGTTCTCTAGCTCAGCCAAGAGTCTTAAGAAGAACTTGGACATTGGAGAGAGCTGTCACATCTCACACTGCCGCTTCGGCATATGCAGGCCCGGGATTCAAACCTCTTTCCAAAGATCAGCTATACTGCTAGGTTTATGGTGAATTTAAACCAGTTTCTTCAAGCAAATTACTGGGTACATTTGAACCTCAGTCGGATCGGGACCTTGGAAAAGCCAAGAGCGTACGTATCCTTCGGAACATTACTTTGCTCTTATGATCGCACGGTTTGATGTCTGATGCGATGCAGAGTTCCTAGAATTTCAGTGAATAACACTGCGATAACGTATTCTTGTCATGAATGGGAAAGGATTTGTAAGGAGGCAGTCATCGCATAATTTACACTGGCCCGGTATTTGCCTGGAGGGGCTGAGGAACAGCACGAAACACCTAAGTCGGTGTTCCGGCAGAGATTCGAACCCCTCCCCGAACACAAGTAAGAAGCGTTGCCGCTTGAGGCGCCCTGTGCAGCAGTTTGCTTCTCCGCAATTTCTTCCGAAACTCCCGCTTCAGGAAATGTTGGGCTGTCAAATGCCGTGGAAAACTTGGCTCTTCGGTTCCGGAGCTCCGATAGGCTCCCATTTACTGGCGTTCGCTGACAACTTGAAAATTGTTTATATTTTAAGACACGTTATTTCAAAGTAAGCGGAATTAATTAGACGCTGGCCTGTGTAGTGCAAACATTGTGTGACGTCCCTTTTCAGTTTCCCCACAATATGATTTATCTCTCTCGCCTCGATACACAGGCTGTGACGTCACAGCTAACACAGTCGCATCTGGTAAAGCACGAAACATTATTCAACCTCTGTCCGTGATGAATAATTTCGTCAATGATAAAGCACAATTTCTACAAGGCAGATGGTTCTTCAACAAAAAGACGAATTTTATTGTGACGTTTAAATCCTTCCTAACTCGTACGAAACTAATCATTGAGCAACCTGTCTGTTGCAGCACGTGAAGGCAAGTGTCGTTACGTGAATCACATGTTGTGTGTATGCCGGGTTGCGGTCAATCAGTGGGTATTGCGTCTTTATGCCGACTCTGGGGTTAAGTCGTGTTAATTCTATTGAAATTATTATACTCATGGTTTACTGCTACCAACATAAAAACCAATGAGTTGCTTATTCTGTCAGATCAGTGGCACCAACATTAAAATCTTATGCTCCATGCAGGGCACAGTCACATTGTTACACGTGACTAAAATGGAGAGGTCATGTATTCCTTTCCGTCTGCATGTTTTATTTACACTGAACAATTATCCCTCTACCGACAGCCCTGTTAGGTTTGTTATTGTATAGGTTGGACTGAAATTAAGTGGGTCACATCAGCTGCAGATCTGTTCTGATGATGTAAATCAACAAGAAAAACACAAAATTTAATCGACGCTAGCAAGGAGGTTGGTCTGGAAGTAAACCCGGAGAAAACTAAGTATATGTTGCTGTCTCGTCACCAAAATGCAGGACAAAATCATGACATAAAAATGTGGCACAGTTCAGATATTTGGGAGCGACAGAAAGAAACCAGAATTTGATTTAGGAGGAAATTAAGGGGGGATTGGATAGGGTAATGTTTTGCCCTCATGCACTCCAGAAACCTTCGTCTTCTCGTCTGCTGTCTAAAAACGTAAAAATTAGAATATAAAAGCTATAATTTTGCCTGTAGTTCTCTGTGTGGGTGTGAAACATGGTCTCTGACAATAAGGGAGGAACACAGACTGAAGGTGTTCGAGAACAGGGTGCTGAGGAGAATATTTGGACCGAAGAGGGATGAAGTGACGGGAGGTTGGAGAAAACTGCATAATGAGGAGCTTCATTACCTGTACTATTCTCCAAGTATAATTAGAATGAACAAGTCAAGGATGATGAGATGGGCAGGGCACGTAGCTTGAATGAGGAGAAGAGCACTGTTTATAAGATATCGATGAAAAAGCCAGAAGGAAAAAGACCAATAAGGGAGACCTAGATGTAGGTGGGAGGGTAATTTTAAAATGGATCTTAAGAGAGATAGGATGGGGTTTGTACGGACTGGATTACTCTGGCTCAGGATAGTGGCCAGTGGTGGGGCTCTTGGGAAATCCCTGAGTGGTTGCGCGCTGGATATGTCAGGCTGTTCTCCCAGCACCGTGTGGAAATGTGTTGCAGCGCCAGAATACCAGCAGGGCCACGCTGCGGGGCTGTGTACGTGGCACAGCAGTTTCATGGATTACATTCTTCAGATTGGAGCTGCCAAGATGGGTCTGCTGGCCCTCCTGAAGGCTGTCATTACGGCGGTGGGCGCTACTGTTCTCACCAAACTGCCTCTTATACTGTTCAAGCTCATAGCCTTGCCATTCGGTGTCATTATCCTGGCCCTCCCGTTGCTCCTGCCCATTCTAGCCATGTTCATCCCAGTACCCGTCATCTCTCTCAACGGCCATGACCCTGAGGAGTGTACGTCCGACTGCGTCCCGTCCCGCCGTCTTCAAGAGAAAGTATCGAAGGCTTTGAGGACTCTGCTGGACTCCGAGGGCTGCGTCGAAAGACTGGCTTGCGAGCTGGGGAGTGTGAACTCGGGACCGCAGTATAAGAAACCCATCTCGTGGTAAGTTGGGGTACAGGATCCTGTGTGCTTCAGTTGATAATTGGTACTGGGAAGATAGAAAGCGACATTATTCATTAGATTTCGATATATAATTGATGTAGTAAGAAGTTCTGACATGCTTGGATTGCCTCAGTGATAGAGCACTTGTGCAGCTGGCAATAATACTCAGATGTCTTATCAACTGCAAAGCCTTCTTTTCTCATGGTTAACTCTTTGTAGAAACTGTTGAGGAGTATTTCGATGTAACAGATCAAGCACAGACAGGATATTGTGAGTGAGTCGGTAGGCGGTACAGTGCGCGGGTTGTTACACGACGTTCTCCCCGTGCACTTAAGCATTTGTCTGATGCCTCTCCCGTTCAGAATGGTCTGAAACAAGGAGATGCTTTATTGATATTGCTTTTCAACTTCACTCAAGAACTTTCCATTAGCGATTGCCAGGAACTGGAAATGAAGGAGAGACGCCAGCCTTTGGTCTCCGCTAATTGGAGACCAACAAAGAAGCTGGCGTAAAACTAAGCATAGGATAATTAAGTGAGCCAGCGTTCGTATCTCGTCACCAGGACGTAGGGCAGCAATGTGTGAAGTTCACGTACGTTGGGACGACAATAGCAGACCTGAGAGGTGCATGCCACCGCTGAGTACGACAGCCATTGGTGTAATGCCTGGTGACCCGTGTTCGCAGGTTGCTGGCGTACATGCAGCGATCAGCGCCGGAGAGCAAACAGGCGTCGCTTGCTGCCTATCGGACCGCCTATCTGCGAGGGAGCGCCGGTGAGCGCTGCCTATACCCATGTGACGTAGCGGTGCTTGTGAGCGCCATGTTCGAAACCTGAAAGTACTTCCTGGCAACCTCATCTTTCTAAACGCGCATGTCAGTTTCATCCTCCCTTGCAGGAGTGTGGACCCGGCCTTTGGGCTTTCAGATCATCAGAATTATAATCTACATGCGTAGGATTACTACAGTCCTCTGGGATGTGACGCCGTGTAGTCTGGCGGAAAGTTCCAAAGTTTTAGAGGAACATACAGCTTTTAGGGTGGAATAGAAGGTTGGTAACCACTTGCAAGACCAGACGGCGGCACAACCCAGACAACGGCAATACGAATTTTCATTGACTAGAGAACCGGAAATTACGTATAGCGAACATATGTCCATAAGTGTTATATAATTAATAAACAGTTTCATTGTTCCAATGCAGTTTCTAAATCTGAATATTCTCCTCGAGAATTCCTTAGAGCACTTGCGCGGTTTCCGAAAAGGAACGTTAGCTGTTTTAAGGATGTGCGTGCTGAACAACAGAGAGCGCTTGCAGCTTATGTTCTGCATTCTGTGGTTCGTGGGCCCAGAATGAGTCATGTACATGCCACTCTTTTGATTGAATTATATTTAATTTAGATAATAGTCTGGCCTGTAGACTGCTACTTGCATCTTGTGACAAGTTTAGCATGTGAATACAAATTCTGGATAAGATTGGGTTTCCGTTTGCTCCCTGTAACGACCCGCTATGCTACAAGCCGGAAGGTCGCAGGTTCGATTGAGGTCATTGGATTTTTCAGTTGATCTAAGCCTTCCAGCCGCACTATGGCCCTGGGGTCGACTCAGCCTCCAACAGGAATGAATACCAGGAATCTTCCTGGGGGTAAAGGGCGGTTCGCGCGTAAGGCTGACCTCAGCCATTCTGTGGGCGGATTATCTAGAAAATGTGGGAGCCTCGACGTCTCACAACCCTATGGGCCTCCACGGCCTGTTACAGGGACAGCTTCCTGTAACGGGCGCTCTCGTCCTGATGGACGCAGTGTCACGGATGTGGTGGGTGTACCACGTCTCAAGCAGCGATGGCACATCAGTTAACAATAACAAAAATGACAATTATGAGGTCTAACGGCTACGCAGGGTCACCTGCTGGCCTCAGGCCAGTTGATTTGTGGGCCTGCTTAGTCATTTGGTCATTAACGGACTTTACCTCAGCGTTTCTCATTTTTAGCCTACATTCCATTCTTAAGGAAAGAAAGCAGGCTTATGGGATCACCGTCCTGCGTGTATGCGTGCGTCCTTTCAGCTTTTGAACCAATTGACCTGATTTCCGCCAAACACTGTCTGAAAGAAATGCTGCTGGAGGCCACCTCTATCTGTACTTCCTAACTTTCTGCAACTGCGCGCGAAGTTGTCAAGCTGGCGGAAGCCCCGGGGACATTTAATATTAAGTTCTGAAGTGATGTATAGCAACAGATCTCGGAACAATAACCAGGTTGCGTTAAGTGTTTCTGTTAGCCCTTAAACTAGAACACCAGCTTGTCAAATTTTGTAACCACACCTGCACGTCATGTTCCTCATTTTCTGTGACATCCGGCACGTTTCTTTCAATAGAGGTTACAGATTTTCTGGACGAACGAGACTATAAAAGTAGGCAGTGTACACTCAGCGGGAGCGTTCGATACATGACATCCTCAGACCCGTAGTCTTCAAATTGCCTGCAACAAAATTGAGTGTATCAAATGTGAGAAAGTAAAGTGATCTTCCGTATTGGCGGAGATGCCTTATAATTGAAGATTTTACGTTGTCACGGCGGTGACTATGAAGAATACCGTCTTCTGGGATGTGGCGCAATGTAGATATTGTGTAAACCGACGTTTCGGAGGAACGTATCGCCTCCATCTTAAAAGATCCGCGAGCGAGGAACGAGCGTGAGCATGGATGCGATAAGTTCACCCGAAACATCGGTGTACACAATATCTACATGGCGCCACATCTTCTCCTGATAATGAAGTTTACACACAGTCAGTTCGGATGGAGATGTCCGCTACCAGTGGATACATGTGCAGCCTGGTGTTATGTACACTGCATATGTTGAATGACTAACGTCGATGATTCGCTGTTCGCTGTTATGAGAACTGAATATTTATACTTTAAAGTCGTATTATAATAAACCGGTACGTTAAATGCATAAGAACAGGCCTCATATCAACGCGGGATAAGTTAACCAAGAATTTCTTTATTTTTTCTTATTGCGATCTTTTGCAGAAACAGGCGAACCGTTTGTTTTCTTACAGACTGACCTCTTGTGGTGTAGAATGAAAGGTTGGCAGCGCGTACGGGGTTTAAGCTGTGTAAACTCGGTGGGCGGTAGGAAGCTTCATTTAATTATTATGGACAATAGAAGACCTCGGTAGCCTTCGGATGTGTTCGGGAGAGCATCGTTTCTTGTTCGTACGTACTGAGCCCCTGTTGTTTAATTGTCTCGAAAACCGCAAGACTACAGAAAAGAGCGCACTGCAAATGAAGTGTGTGAACATTTCCCCTACCCTGTTTATTCGCAACACTTCTCGCTCCGTTTAGTATTCAGCGAGTTACGCCTGAGATATGCAGAAAAATGTGCGCGAGTCCGTCTCCATGTAAAGTGCCCGTTGCTTTGTCTGATTTTAAGTGAAGTTTGAATGTACAAAGAGGTTTAATTAAAACTCCGCTATATAACATTTCGCGAAAATCCTTTCAGCGGTTGTCATGTTACCTCAAGCGTTCACCAGGAACGCAAACGCGCCCAAAAATATATCGAGCCATTTCCCATAAACAGAACGAACCGCGACCTGTTGTCCCTAATGAAGACGTCTGGTGCTGTCATCTATGTCAAAATGGAATGCATTTCCAATGTTTCGGGGTTTGCCACTGTTCCCATCTTCGGGGATTCGTGTCGATTCGCCGTTTCTTCATATATTATGCGAACTGGTTCGGAGAATGTCGTGGTTTTCTGCAGGTAATGACGCACCCTGCGGTCCATGTACTCTCATGTGACCGTGAGACTCCGCAGCTCTGCCTCTGGAAGCATTCCCACGCCACTTTGTTCTCTGCTGTCAAGTTCTTGTACAAAGGGGGCAAGCCTCCAGCCGTCACAGCTGTGATACCTCCTATGTTCACTTGTCTCTGGCACCAACCCACTTCCTCTTTATGACAGTTCCTCCACCTCCAGAATTACAAGATGTCACCGCCCTTCCGCAAACACATCTCGCACGGTACTTGAGAAGCTGACAGTCGCTCTAGACACCCTTCACATGTTTACAGGAACCCTATCCTGAGGTATCTGAATCCAGCCCACAAGGTCACATCACATTTCTTTTAGACGATTTTTAATATTATCCGCAGATGGACGCTTGGATCTCGAAATTTGTCTGTCCTCTCCAAGTTTCCCTTCTGAAACATGTGCATTCATCTTTCCAGTCATGCTACATGTCTTACCCACGTCATCCCCCTTGGTTGAGCGCGCAGTTTTGGCCAGTTTCCCGTCACTTCCTCCCTTACACGCCCGGGTACTGGCGCCCTGGACAGCCTCACAGACCGACTAAACTCGTGCCCTCGTGTCCTCGAAAGACGATCTTGGAAATGTTTTACCTATTTAACGACGCTTTACTTAGCTCACACTTTAGTGTCAGATGCTACGGTGATTGGTGAACGATGGTCATTTGCGTGGATGTACAGAGGAAAACTACGAAGACCCTCAGTGAAGACAGCCTGTATCCTGACACAGGTTTTGAACCCAGGTCGTCTCGAATACTGTTAAGGATCGCTACCCACCCGACCGCTGGGTTCAGTCTCGTTTTAGATTAGTTAAATGGGCAAAGGAAATAAAGAAATTCAGATGAACAGCTCTGTGCACGTCACAGGAAACTTCCTGATGAAAGCGCTGAATCAAGTGCGCAGTGCGGTGCCACGTGCCGGCACAGTTACTCCCGGATTGTGACACCGTATAGTCTTGTAGGCGGGTACCAACGTTTCGGCGAAACATGTTGCTTCCAGCTTCACTGTTGATCCTGTAGGCGGAGGCAGAATATTCTTCCAAAATGTTGGTACCCACCTACCAGACTGCACGATCACAAAATTAACACTTTCCGCTGTGGAAATATGGAAACTTGTAAATACTTCATTAAAACGATACAGAATGGTGACACTATGAAATCACATCGTTAAGCAGCTGATGCGGCAGAAGTAAACAGCTGGACACGTCTTGCTACGCAAATTAAATTATCCTTTTGTTACTGTACACAGCAGTCGATAAACATTGATTCGCTTTGCACGATGGGCCGTAACGAATTTGGTGCACGAAAATGCCCCCCCCCCCCCACTTGAGGATCTTATTTTATCAATGAAACCAATTTCTTTGCTGGATCTGAGATTCTCACAGCCGTGACTATGAAGAGAGCTGTTCCCTTCCTGCACAACTTCACTGAAGTTTCAGACGAACGTGCTCTTGGGCCAGCGGAACCTGCTACTTACTCGGCACAACTGCGACCCTACACGCAGTACACGGCGTCACATCCCACACGAATTTCTTGTTCACTGTTGTGGCGGATGCTTCGCCATGTCTTAATCCCGAAGAAATAAACGGGACAAGATTTTGTAACCCGAATGTTCCTGTTTCCGTTTCCCCGCTTCTGCTACGAGGAGATTCTCAAAGTGTGTCGGCTCAATGTTCTGTAAGCTGCAGCAGTCAGCACTTGCCATTATTTGGATAAATTGTATTCATAACTCACGAACTCGGCTGCCAGAGTTTAGGCGCATGTCAGTTACTCGCACAGCCTGAAGACGAAGGTGCCAGGGCTTCAGCGCTCCGGACGAGTGGACGTGATAAGGGATGTCCCTGTTTCAGGCTGCTGTCAGCAGAGCTTCGCCGTGAAATCCGTGACACTTCCCACTGCTTCTCTGGCCGGTTTTTGGGAGAACGGCACTAAGCGGGACCTGGTTGCCAGCTGAGTAACTATCGTGACGTGTCATACAGCTAATTAACTTAGGCCGCCACTGCTCACGTTATCATACCAAAGATTTTCGTTGCACTCACGAAGAAAAGTTCCAAAATGCACCCGATAGCTTCTCACGTGACGCCCCGAGAACCGTCGAGTTGACTGGACCCCACATGTGCACACCGCTGCAGTTTTGGTTACATTCGGACCTCACTGCGCACATCTCGAGCGTAACTCGCTAAATATTAATCGGAGGGGAAAAGGGAAGATTTGAGGTTTTCACGGCGGTGACTATGGAGAATGCCGTCTTCTGGGATGTGGCACCGTGTGCACATTGTGTGAACCGACGTTTTGAAGGAGCGTAACGCCACCACCTTCAGGGTAGA